GTTATACAGACATTAAAATGAAGAAGTTCCCAGTTAAGGAAAGGGCAAATCATTTTATATAGGTTTCATGAAAAAAGAAGTGTACAAAAATATATACATTATAATAACCTTGTAAAATACTAAGATGAAGGAAAAGTAAAACTGACTTATTCTTTACATCTATGTACCAATTTTCCATGATAAACAATTATTGCTTTTATAAGCAAGAAACAAACAAAAAACTGCATGTTTTCAATATCATCCAGACTCTAGATATAAAATTAAAGGGTCTTTGCTGATTAATGTTAGAATTTAAATATGAAAGTAGGAGAAAGCAGAGGTTCAAAACACCTTTTATAACAGTATTGAACTGGATGGTCATCTAGATTTTTCTAATTCAAGTTCCTATTACTTTTCCCCTTAAAAATATCATGTTTCTGAATATTTTGAGTGTCTTCAGTGATAAATAAAGTTATGCTTATGTTTGTTAAGAGTGGGTTATGGGGACAAGTCAACATCAATCTCTATCTACAATGTTTTAATCTGGAAAACAGAATTTTTCTTTCATTCAGAAGTTTTCTTCTCAAGAGACAATTCCTCCAAATAAAGGCTTTTTTCTTCTTCTTCTTTTCAAGCTTAAACATGAACTTCAGGTATCGATCATACTATGACACTGAGAAGAAGTGAAACAAATTAAAGTTGAGTTTCAATAAATTTTATCTGATGGATCAATGTTTTCTGCATTGATTTATGTCTACTATATTCACACATACACACAATAGAATGAACACTTTCAATGCATTTGAGGATGTAGAGAAACTTGGGTGCCATTTGCTGGTGGTGACTTTACACATCAGTACATCCAAAAAGTATGAAATATAAAAACATGCAAGAATAAAACTGTAGAAATATATCTTAAAACAATAACTCATCAGAAGCACTAACTTGTATTTATGAACATTTTCCTAAAGAGGGAAAAATATAAAAACTGCCTAAATATTTAAAGAAAGTAGTACTTTCTTCTTTTGAAAATTGGTGTTGCTGACTAAAGTGGACAATATATTGGACAAACATAATTTATTTTATGTTTCATATATATTTCATATTTATTCAATTTACCCCATACACTCAATATCACACTTTGTATTTAACTATCAGGAAATCTTGTCTGTTCTAATTTCTAAATATTATATATTGAATCTTAACACAGCTTGTCAGCATTTCCTCTGCTACCAATCTGGTCTAAGATGAAATCATTTTTTGCCCAAGCTACAATAACAATCATCCTCCTTCCACATTTGAATTCATCTGTTTCAACGCAAGCCAATGATCTTTCATAAGTATAATCACATCATGTTACTGATCTGGTGAAATAGTCCAAGATTTTCCAACACACTTGGGCTAAAATCTAAACTTCTTAAGAAACATCACAGAGCCTACAAGGACTGAGGTGATGCCTTCCTATCTACTTCTCCAAACTCTTTGACCACTTACTCTTCAGTACTTCTTCTGCCATATTGATCTTCCAGCTGTTTCTTGAACATGCTGAGCACATTCCCACCTCAGGGCCTTTGCACATGCTATTCCCTCTGCTTAGAAAGTTCTCCCCTCAGACCTTTGAGTGACTCATTCCATCACTTCATTCAGATCTCTCTTCTAATAACACATCTTCTGAAAGGCATTGCCTGGCCACTAATCTAAGTTACTCCATAACAAATAGCTCTTTAATCAAGAACCATGAACTATCTTTCCTTATATCATTTATCACTTCAGAAATGATTATTTATATATGTGACTCTATTTATGTGACAGTTCCAGTCCTAATGCTGAAATGGCTGGGCAGTGGCATATGTCACTAGAGCCCAATGAGAGATAGAACCGAGAAGAAAGTCCCTGGCCACCTTCTTCCCCAACACACACCTCCACGGTAGTTTTCCCCGGAAGGTTTCAGCCACTCTAGCACCTTCATTGTGAAGCTGGGAGAGAATGAGAAAGAAACTGAGCTACTTTTCTCTTCCTCCCACCGCTGACATCCTGCTGGTTTCTCCCATTGGCTAAACTGAGCTGGAAACTAGTTACCAAAGGAGCTCTATTGACGTGACGCCTGAGGGTGAAATTCCGGGTGGACAGAACAAGGCAGAGAAGAAAAGGCAACAGATCTGGGTGGGGTAGGGCGACAAAGGGAGAATCACCAGACAACTATATTATCCATGTTTCTACACTGTTCCCATAGCTATGTATTATTTTTCCTACTGAAAAATAAAGTGCAAGACTCAGATTAGTAAATAAATAACTAGTCCAAGTTCAACAAAAGCTAATTCATCTTCCAGTGGTTTTCCAAATGCCGAAACTCTCTCCCTACACCACGCACTATTCTATCTTACATGTTGTAAACAGGAGAACTTAATATTTCCCCCGAGTCAAAAAATATTAAGACATTCAGGCATAAATTAAAATTAATAATGAATCCCATTGCTTCCTCATTCTCGGGAAATTTGATTCTCTGATGATATTGGGGAGTGGGCAAAAATCATGTTCTCAATAAGTTTATGATTTTTAAAAGAATAAAAAAGATAGTGGTTGTTCACAGTCTGAATGACTTTCTGCTGGAAATAATTAAAGCATGGGGATTTGGTCCCTTTATAACAATTCCATTATAAACTCTTCAGTTCTTCATATCCATGCTCTCGTCAGGAAAACACTCTTCTTTCACAGGTAGGATGAGGTATTGTAAAACAAATTTTAGAAACTGAAATAAATATTTTAATCAACAAAAATAAAATTATGTGCTGAAACATATTCTGATGAATCACTAAATACCCTGAAGGACATTCTACTACTCTCTCAGAGTACAAGTCTTTATGTGTTTGCAATGGAGATGAATAGCTTGCCCAAGCCCTACAGCTAGGGTAGAGGATATGGGATTTTCAGCCAGGAAGTCTGGCTTCAGACCCCAGTAACTGTTACACTCTGCTGACTCTCAGGAACTAACCATGCTTACTTTCTCATTTCATGAAGAAAAACAAAGTGGTATTAAATAAACTATTTGGTTCCTTCCAAGTTAACAACGCTACTCTTTATAATTATAAGCATCATATCATGTAATGGTCTGCACCCCCTTCATGGAGAATTGGCCACGTTTAGGTTATAATCTATATAAATTATTTAAAATTAATTCAAAGTGCACTTCATGAAGATGTCTTCTCTAAATTTCTTTTTCCACTTCAAATTGAACCACAACCACATGCCAAGAAGACATCATCCTTGTTAAAGCTAAGGACAAACCTTCTAGACTCTTTGGGTCACTATGTAGTGGCAGCAAACATCTACACGAGAGAACCTCAGGGTGAGGGTGAATGTCATGAGTGTAAAGCCGTGGGTGTCCCCAGAGCCACATCTGTCCACATGCAAATACTTCTCTCTGAAGTTTTCTTGCTCAAATCATGTAGGACGTTGTGTTCTGTTTCTTTAAATGAAGGTTATTACCATAAAGTACTCAGTTCAATTATCTGGAATGTTCATTGCTTGCATTACAAGCATTCAAAAATGAATCGAGGTATTTATTATTTTGGCTCTTAATTAATGTTTAAAAATAGAGACATTAAATATACCATCATAGCACCAAGGAATATTTGCCTATTATGACAATTACTATGACCTTATGAACTTAAAAAAGAAAAATAAAAAATGATTTTGATTCTATTGATTTATGATATTTTTCTTGCATTTTATTACCCTAGTCAATACGTCCAAAGTGCAGAATAGGATAATGCAATGGGAAAGAATGTTGGAGTGGTACATTTATAAAGTACCTTACAAAGTGATCTGTGTCCCTCCTTGGCACTGTAGCTACCAACAAGAGTCCGTACAATATTTACATACCTGGGTATGTGTTATTGAAAGAGAATGTAGATTTTTCCTCAGTGGTTTTCATGGCCACTTTCATCCTGCAAAAATGTTGGGAGATGCACTTCATGATATTTTATGTACTGTCTCAGTGTATAGGTAGTATTGTTATTATTTCAATATGACCATTTATATGTTTTAAAGAACTTAAATTGATTCATGTTATAGGGTTTTTCTCATTTTGTGCAAGAGTTAAAATGAAGTAGAGTTATTACAAAATTGTTATGGTCTGGGGATATGTTTGTCAATCTTTTTTTCATGATTATCTTCCCCCCACCTGGGAGACTTTTAATACATTATTTTATCACTCACCCATGAATATTTAATACCACCAATATATGTGTATGTGTATACCTACACACACACACACACACACACACACACATATTATTTGTGTATGCTATATACCTCTGTTTTTATACAAGCACATTGATTTATTTTTGAGACCCATGAACAAATTTTTGCCTCCTTATATAATTGGCAATAATACAGAAAGCAAAGATCCTTTGAGATGAGTCTTAAAATTTAAGTAAAATTTGGTGATATCAGTGCCACCTGAAATAGACTGGAGTGGGGAAAATGGACAGATGTGGCAAGGAGAGGGAAAGACTGAAAATAATCTTGAGTTTAGAGAGACAGGTAGACAGATCCTAGTTTTACAAGAACATTTGCCATACATCAGTTCCATTTCCCAAAGTCCATTCAGCTCTGAAAAACAGATGAATGTCAATGACAGATGCTTTAGATATCACATCAAAAGGTGTATTGAAAAACAAAGGATTCCAAATTCAAAAACAGCAATGTTTAAGGAAATTGTTTAAGGAAATTATAATTGAACAAATATGATAAAGACTTGCAGAAAAAATAAAGGCTTTTCAAACATGAAAAGATTTGCAGAACAGCATTTAAAAATAGGACTGCCTTTATACAAAGGGTTTCTATATTAATTTAGATATTTAAAACATCAGTCACTTGCTTACCTCTGCCACATGTATTTACAAGTTTGAGAGAAGATGAAGAAGTACCCCCATGATGAGGGTAATGGAGAAATGACAAAAGACAAATGCATTTTTATTTCCTTTACTTTAGACCTCACTTGAAGCCAAGCAAACACAATGTTAAAGAAAAACTGCACAACAGTGACTGAGTTTATTCTCCTGGGACTGACAGATCGAGCGGAGTTGCAGCCTGGCCTCTTTGTGGTTTTCCTAGTCATCTATCTCATCACAGTGATCGGCAATGTGAGCATGATTTTGTTAATCAGAAGTGACCCGAAACTTCACACTCCAATATACTTCTTCCTCAGTCACCTCTCCTTCGTAGATCTCTGTTATGTCACCAATGTCACTCCTCAGATGCTGGTTAACTTCTTATCCAAGAGAAAAACTATTTCCTTCATTGGTTGCTTTATTCAGTTCCACTTTTTTATTGCCTTGGTGATCACAGATTATTATATGCTCACAGTGATGGCTTATGATCGCTACATGGCCATCTGTAAACCCTTGCTGTATGGTAGCAAAATGTCCAGGTGTGTCTGCTTGTCTCTCGTTGCTACTCCTTACATTTATGGCTTTGCAAACGGTCTGGCACAGACCATCCTGATGCTTCGTCTCTCCTTCTGTGGACCCAACAAGATCAACCACTTTTACTGTGCGGACCCTCCTCTTTTAGTCCTTACCTGCTCAGATACTCATGTCAAAGAAACTGCCATGTTTGTGTTTTTTTAACTAATATGCATCCTCATTATAAAACTGGTTTTGTGGTTTCACTTGCTAATTTTTTATTATGGAATATTTCCAACACACAGCCCAAAATAGAAAATTATAATATAAAGACCACCTATGTAAGTACAACTAATCATCATTAAGTTTTCACATGATGCCACTTCTGTTTCAGATATTTCAGAAACTCAGATATTCTCAAATTGACCCCTCCTTGCCTCATTCTGTTTCTCTCCCCATTTCCTGAATTAAACTCTAGTTATGAATTTAATATTTCTTATCCCTATGTAGAGTTTTAGCATTTTCTGGGTGTTTATGTATCCACAGATTGATATAGTATTATTTTGCTTGATTTAAATCCTGATATAAATGAAATCAGTCCATGTTGCCTTCTGCAATTTATTTTACTTTTCACTAAACATTGTTAGATCTATCTATGCTAATTCATTTAGCAGCATTTATCATTGATAGTTTTATGGCAATATATAAATATGCCACAATATATTTATTCATTCTACTATCGATGGACACAACATTTTTCTAGTTTCTTAAAATATGAAAATCCAGCAATACATTTTCTTGTGGAATTCTGAATGTGTAGCAGTTCAAGAGTTCCTCTCACGTAGATACCCAGGATCGTAAATTCTGGGTCATGAGATGTGAACATCTTTAAATTGAGTAGATATCGCCAAATTGTTCCACCAATTTACACTCCTGCCAA